TCGACTCGGTTAATACCGGTTTGCTTCTGGTTTAATGAAATTTAACTATTTGACAAAAACAAAAAAAACCAATCAAAACATTTCAATTAAACTTAGGGTCATTTGCAAAAATAACCAAGAAAAATAAATAAAACATAATATCTAACCAAAACACCTAAATCTAATGGCTATAGTTTTGCCACATAAGGGTGTTTTGGTTAGATATTAGGTGATGTTTTTTTCTTGGCTATAATTGCCAATTTCCCTTAATTTTATATGTCATATTAGAAATCTCTACATATTTACATTAATTTCTTAACATGAGCTCACAAATACATATATTACTAATATAAATCTAGCTAAAATATAAGATTTTAATATATTAAATATTATATAACATAATGTTTTAACGATGAATCATTTACCGATATCAATTACTTTATAAAAATTGTATTTATGTCCATTTAGATACTATATATATATGATTGATGATACAATTATTATTATTTTATATTTTTCAATTGTATCCATATTAATTAAAGTTGCGTTTTTGTTATTAATGCTTGAATTTTGAAAATCATCACTTCACTTTTTACTATTTTTTTGATTTTTTTTAAGAAGATTTACATACTAACGTTTTTTCTTTTTGTTAGGTGAGCTCAAATAAGTTTAAAAAACCCATAATTTCAAATGTATTTGATTTACATTAATAAAACGTATAGATTCAATCTATTTGTGATGCAGATCAAATTATATAAGATATAGTATATATTTTGTCTATGGGAGGTTGTTTCCATTTTCTCATATATATTATAAAAAATTATGATTTTTTATTTTCAAAATATTCTAATCCCCCGGGTCTAAAAATCTAGTTTATGAGTAAGTAGGGGTGTCAAACTGAGCTAAACTGAGCTAGCTAGCTCGCTTTATTATACGACATAAGCTCAAACTCAGATCATCATAATCGTGATGAGTTAGCTCGCGAGCTAATACAAAATAAATATAAGAATAAAATAATTAAAAATTAAACTATTATAAAATCCAAAATTAAATTTAAATGTTAAATATTAAAAATCCAAATAATATTGTTATCGAATGCAAAATCAAAACCAATCCAATATCACACACGCTAAGTCAATGACAATTAGCGTAGATAATTAACAAGTGAATAAAAATATATTATTATTCATGTCGGCTATTAAACCAAATAACCAAGATCGAGTACATAGCAGAGACTCGACGTATTTAAGAAGAAGACGACTTCAATATTTGTTTAATGGATTTTTGTTATAGTTAAAAAAGAACGAGAATATATATTTTAGTTGGTAAATCTAAAATATATTTACAGTATATCAATATATTATTTTAAATCGTTAAAAAAAAAATTTTCGTGAGCTAACTCACGGCTCATCTGAACCGCCTCGCATAATTCGCCAACTCATTTAATCTCGATCACTTAACTCGTTTATTAAATGAGCCTAAAAAATATAGTTCGCACTCGTAAAAATCTGAGTTGAGCTGACTCAGCTCGTGAGCTAATGACTCGTTTGACAGCCGTATGAGTAAGCACGAATACATAATCGTTGTTATCATGAATGAGAGTGACATGATTTCTTCTTAAAATTTACCACAAAATTTGACAGGAATCAGGCATTTCATCATTAATGGGCCGAATAAGAAGCCCATTATTCAAAACTTTAACATATCCGAAGCAGACCCAATCCACGTGTCGTGGTGGACATCTACTAATTAGTTCGAAATT